TTAAAGAATATGGCCGAAAAAAAAACATTGCGAAACGTAACCATTGCAACAATTTACGAACACCATAAAGTTCCGCAAAGACCGCGCGAAAAATTTTCCCATCTGAAATGCGTAAGCTCTACGCAGCCGCTTGGCTCTCATGATTTGTGTCAGCGAACGATACAGGGACATTTAATACCTCGAAGGGATATGAATTTTTATACATTTTAACCTACTTTGGTGAGTGAGGCAGCCGGTGCTCAATTTTCAAAAGGTTCTTAACGCATCTGTAACCCTCGGGTGTAGCAGATGTCCATGGGCGGCGGTATTCACTTACCATCAGGTGAACCGCCCGCAACTTTTGCATAAAAAACGTTTAGTTTTCACACCTTACGTTAAATAATTCCAATCAAAAACTGCAATAGGGCCACGCAACAATCTTCCCTGTTGCACGAATGTGCAGGTCCGTATGGACCGTATGGTTAAGACCACGACCACGCAGAAGACCGCCGTGAAGTAGAGATGTTATACTTCAGCGCGTCGCCTGGCGAGCGAGGTAGCTGGGGCCAACCTTATTAAATCGTGGGTCTTCAACCCTATGGGTGTTGCAAATGTTGATGAACGGTGGTTATCACTTAACATCAGGTGAACCGCCTGTTTGCTTGCCACCTTCTCACATCCTATCCTTACTGATATTATAAAGGCGAAAGTTTGTATGTATGGATGAATGTTTGTTATTCTTTCACGCAAACACTACTGAATGGATTTTAATGTAACTTTACAATAATATAGCTTATTATACATCAGAATAACACATAGGATATAATTTATATACATATTTTATGTATATCTGTCTTTCTGTCTTATGTTTCACCTTCAGCGTATTCTACGCAGGCGTAGTCGCGGGCAGCAGCCAGTGAAAGAGTAAAAAATAAACTTTGACTGAGCTACTACTTATAATTGCTTCGTTTTTACTTTAATTAAACCATCTTCGGGTTATTTTATAAATATACTAAAAATACTGTATGGCGTTATTAATTAATCAGTAATACAACGTCAGAATAAGCTTTCTGTACGTAATTATATCCAGTTCGTTTTTTATCTTCTGTTTTACAAAGTAACATATTTATTAAGTTTTTTTCCCGTTATTTACTAAGGTTTTTGACAAAAAGCATTATTGATGATTTAGCTTCATGCAAAACAATATATAAAAATAAAAGAAGTATCGCTTTACACCAAACTTCATATATATAATTCTTCTGTGCGTGTGTATGTCACTGAATTCCTCCTAAAAGGCTGGACCGAATTTAATGAAATTTTGTGTATCTTCATGTCGACTCGACTCGAGAATGGTTTAGATTCACAATTCGATCCAAATTTTTTTTTATTCATAAGTTGTTTTCGGATTTCAGTCATGTTTAAAGGACAACGTCTCTTGGGTCCGGTTGTTTTTTTTATAAAATAATGCTCAAATATTAACACAAAATATACTGACAATAATAATAAGGTGCACCTAAGACGCTTCCAATATATCGACATCTGTGTTTGCCAGACCTCCTGGCGTGGCGTTAGGGGACGCGCGGAGCGTAAAATAGAATTTTCAGAGCGGGAGTAAAAAACGATGACGCTATCGTCCGATAGCAGGGTGCACTGCATTCTGTCGCTTTTTTGATTCATAAAACAGTTGTTTTGTACGCATATTTATTTATTCAAAGGTTCAGTGACAAATATAGTTCATTCCAGTTGAATTAAGGAATGCAATCGCAAACTTAAAAATATTTCTTTACATTAAAGGTGGCAAGTAAGCTAACGGTCCACGTATGTTAAGTGATAACCGTCGCTCATGGACATTTGCAACATCCGTAGGGTTGCAGACGCTTTAGAGCCTTTTAATAAAGTCAGATTCGTTATCTCATCTCGCATGACGAAACGCAGAAGTAAGACTTTCATTTTACACCGGTCTTCTGTGAGGTCGTGGTACTATCACGGTTACTACATTTCCATTTTGTTACTGCATTTCTTATTTAAACTTCTGAAGTACGAAGACCTCACGGCCCGAGGTTTCAACACGAAATGCCGCTTCTGCCCAGACCGATATGATCCCTTAGATAGATAGAGGGATCGGGAGGCAACCAAAGAGTATTTATATATATATATATATATATATATATATATATATATATATATATATAATAATCTACCGGGTCTTTACGTTTGGACTTTTAACGTAGCGCCATCTATTAGATACTTACTCAATCCAGCCCATTTCAAATTGTGACATAAACTCTCAAGTTAGGTCAAACTGCACAGTGTGTAAAATTAGATTAAAATCGGATAAATAGTTTTGAAGTTCATCGCGAAGAAACAAAGTGACATGATATATATATATATATATCATGTCACTTATATATATATATATAGACATGTAAACATCACTGGCTCGTCGAGGTTCAATCAAAAGATGAAATGCCGTACGCCATAATGTTTTCTTGATTTCAACCGAATATTATACATATTAAATGTAACTAGTTTACGGATTTTATCGCGTTTTTTGTTTTGATTTTAGACTCCCGCTGCTGTACACCAATCCTTACCCGTACTTGAATCAAGTTATGAAAAGGAGAATGAGCTCATTAATCAAATTAACAAGCCGTTATCGTCGATTGCTGATATAGATGAAATATCAGACAAGGGCCTTATAACTCCTCCGTTGGAAAGGCAAGCAGACCGCAGTTAAAATAATAATCCTATTGTAATGGTACTGTATATTTGCTTCGTTAGCGAGAAATACGATTACCAGAATCGCACTAGTTATAAACTAGTTCGTATCGTCTGGGGATAGAGGTGATTTGAGTGTCAAGGTTAATTAATAACTGAAATGAGGCACCAATATTTTATTTAATTATTTATTATAATTTCTTGTATTTGCGCGATTACATATTATAAATCAAACATTTTTTTACGAAATTATCGCGTTTGTTTTTTAATTCTAAATCCCGACTATCGAACCATTTACGTTCGTGGTCATGGACAGACTGAGGCCGTCAGTTTCATGTATTTAATTACTTCACCAAGAAGATACACGTCGAAACATGCTCAGTAATACATGAATAACTAAATGGTATCCTAAACTAAACGATATCTTAATTGAAGGTGAAACGACACTCTAAAGTTATTATAATTATTATCAACGGCTCAAATAAAGAAGAGTTTTAGTATAGGCTACAATATAAATATTTGCAAAACGAATTAAATTAAGGACTTATTAAATTCTAACAAAAGATTAGTATACCATGTTGATTTATAATTGTTGATTATTTTTTTTATATGGCGAGCTGACGCTTCCCCTAATGTCAAGTGATACCCGCCGCCCATTGACATTAGCCACACCCGTAGGGTTGCAGTGCGTTGCCACCTTTTAATAAAAAAATTATACAAAACAGCCAAATTGCAAGTAGTGTGGCGCTTGATGACATTTTTTTTGTTTTTATTGTTTTATTATGAAGATTCGAGAGTGCCTTATTTTAATATTTGTATATAATTCATTTAAATAATGAAATGGAGTTAAACGATAACCGTACGTACGATACAGGTTTTATAACATTATATTAAACTTCATAGAATGAATATAAATTATACTTTATATTTCAAACTTACGGCAGAGTACACTTAAGTTAAACTAAATAATTAAATAAATACTAATGTTCATATGTACATTATCTAACGTATAACTCGTTAGAAACTAAGTTTTTTATAGGAAGAAACATAATTATTTCACGTAAATATGTATACGTATATAAGAATATTTTTCAGTGTTTAGGATGACACAGCAATCAAAACACAATTGAGTTTCTCTGTAATTAAAGATTTATTGTAAGATTTTGAAACTATATAGAACAAAAATAAAAGATTTTACATTTTTACCTGATAAGGACATTTAATAGGTCGATTCCTAATCACTATTTTACTTATTAAATATCTTTGTAATCAGATTATTTTCATGAAATATGAAAGCTGTTTTTTAAAAATAAATTTTATCAACGGCATTTATATAAAGAAATAAAACACTGTAATTTTTAATAACAACTGTATTGAACTGTTGACGAAATAGAAATTTTTTAAACGATTAATTTTTATTAGTAAAATAATTCGGAGACGTAAAAGAAGATAGATTTATGTGAGGCGGTTTTCAACCCGTTTGACTAATGTTCCTCGGTGTATCGTTCTGATATTGCTAACTGAGATTGATCGTACACCATTTATAACAGACGCTCTTTAAACAACTTTATTAAATCATGGACAAAATACAGAAAGTTCACTTTTATTCCCAAATAATTCACTCACTAAAACAAAAAACTCACTTTTATCACAAAAATAATTTTGAGGTGTACAAAAGACAGATTTATGAAAGGCACTTCGACGCGTATAATGGAGGACTCTGGGTATTGTTCTGGTAATACTAAGTGAGACTGATTGTAGTCCATTTATCGTACGAAAATACTCTTTTAATTAGTTTTGCTTTTATGTGTTGTATATTTATAATTTTGTAACATTATGTAAAGCGCCATAAGTAGCGTATCTGATGAGGACAGTGTTTTTCTTTTGGGTAAGAAGATGGCAAACGAGCTGGCAGTTCACCTGATGTTAAAAGATAACGCCCATTAACATTCGCAACACCCGCAGGGTTGCAAATACATTGCCATCTTTTGATAAAGAGGGCCCCGGCTACCTCACTCACCAGACGAAACGCAGAAGTATAACTTCAACTTCACGCCGGTCTTCTGTGAGGTCGTGGTACTTACCCGGACGGACCTGAGGATTAAGTGCAACAGAGAAGGCTGTTGTGTGGCCCTACCACAGTTGATTTTAAATCAGATTTGCAATTTAGACAATTAAGATTTGAATTGCATCCTACTATCACACGTTCTACATCCAAACATTTAATCGCTCTTATATAAATATATCTAATATATCACATGTTAAATCTACTTTACATCAAAAGCTCATCAAAACTTCATTCAAATATTGTTTTGTATCCACTCCGTATGCAGAAGCAAATCAGTATAAAACACTCCAGTGTTGATGCAGAAACCTTTCTGTGACGGATCACCAGTGCGAAGGCCGCGTAGACGCCACACTTCATCAGCAGCTTTCGCAGCAAAAACACCCCCGTAGCTTGGGCACGTCGTCACATCTAAAAGGATTAAGTTTATGAATGAATGAATGAATTGTATGTAAGGAACACTGACCTTGATTTCACAACCTTGCGTAAAATAGTGGTAGGCGTCATAAAAATAACCAATATACATGAAATCTTAAATATCTATCGATACCATTATTTAACAAAAACTGTCCTATGACATGTGATATCAAAGAATATAAATATTCACCATTGTTATAATTAGCACAAAACGTGTCATCCGATATCACGTCCTTTTGACAAAGTTTGCTTTTCTCTCTGTCAAGGCATATAGGCGTCAATTCATTGGAAATCGCCCATCCGGTTGTCTGGAATAAACACGACATGGTTCATTTTTTACGTAATTAATTAAATTATATTATTTTATCTAGTGTACAATTTAATACAATTTAATCTAGTGTCGATGGGCCGGCCATATAGCTCGTAGAACCGATAACCGCTGGGGAAGAAAGGTTCTCGAGTTGCAGCCTCGAACTGGCCATCGTAGTGTGGGACGAACCCTCACTAGATGGAGAGACGACCCGTGCAAATGTGCGGGAAGTCGATGGATGCAGGTGGCTTGGGATCATGCTTCGTGGCAGTCTATGGGGGAGGCCTATATTCAGCAGTGGACTCAAACAGGCTGAAATGATGATGATGATTTTAACTAGTTCAATTATCTTAACAGGCGCGTCCGAGGAAGTACCACGGCCTCGCAGAAGATCAGCGTAAAGTGTTATTACACTTCAGGCCGGTCTACTGTTTCCTTCTCCGTTTCGTCTGGTGAGTGAGGTAACCGGGGGCCACTTTTTCAATGTTTATCAACGCATCTGCGAGCCGTCGGGTTTTATAGATGGTGGTATTCACTTAAAATCAGGTGAACCGCCTGCTCGCATAACAAATATTCACATAATAAAGCATGCTTATGTATTAATGTATATTATAATAACACTTTTTATAAAGTATTTCTTTAATAAATTTCTTAAACCTGTTAATAGTAGTTAATAGTAGTAGTATTACTCACCGCGATGTCAAAGTCATCTTTAATGAAATCGTCGGTGTCGTTACCTGTAGCAAGACAAGCTGGGTGTACCGCGTCGCTGGAGGAAATTGGTTCGTCTATTCGAATTACAGCCAAGTCATGCCCATCTTCGTATTTGCTTGTAAAATTGTCGTGTAAACGTATTTCGCTTACCTGCAATACGTGGTGGTTAACTACGTTACTAACATCAACTCTTAATATGGCAAAGACTGTGATTTTTAGACTCGGTTGGCAAGTGGTAGAATTTAATGCTGTCGTTCATGGGTTCGATTTCGGGATATCAAGTATTAGTACGAACTATAGAAACTCAAGGTGTTTCTAGTTGTTTAAGGTGTGCTAAAAGTCATGTTTATTTATATACAGTTAGGCTAATGTTTAATAATATGTAATAAATATAAATGATGACTTAGGATGTCAGACTGCGTTTTCAGGTTTTTGGTTCGTACTCGGCCTATTATGTAAAAAGCTAATTAAACTTTTCCCAGCTGTGGGACTTGACCGTTACTTTACACTTACCTTTACGACTTTTTCCTTATCTCCCATAGTTTTTAAAGATCCCTTCCCTAGTACGACGATCACATCATCGGCTTCAACCACAGTCATGTTGTGACTTACACAATTAGCGGCTGAAATGAGACAATGAAGTTAGGAATGCGTCGTAAAGCATAAACACTTACCGCTTTATGTTATTCCTTAACGACTATTGATATCCAAGAGCTACCACATCTGAAATCACGTCGTTCGATCAAGCAGTTGTGGCGAAGGACCAAGTTTAAGAACGATAAGAATGCATCACTTTAAAAATAATATCTCTATCGATACAAATGAAATAATTTATCAGACAATTAATATGGTAGGGCAACGCAGCAGCTTTTGCTGTTACTCTGTTCTGCAGGCCTCGCTACTCCAGTAAGAACTACAGCCACATGTGAAGTGGTATTATAATATGTTCGCATTTCGCCTTTAGAGTGAGAAACCTGAGGCCCTCTTTTGAAAGGTAGACAACGTTCCTTCTTCTTCTTCATTTGCAACCCCATAGATGAGGTCAGGAAAGGCGCTCGCTTGCCAACTTTAAAAAAAGAATAAACCAACGTGGGTGAAGGTGCCGACCAAAGGCGTTTGTACACCTACTCGTATGTATAAATGGTTACGTTCCTACAATCTGTTTGCTCCATAGTCTTTACTATGTAAACCCTCAATTCCTTCTTCGTTTGAACAGATCTTATTCCTCTATGTTATACGTATCAATGATTATGTTCCTACAATCTGTTTGCTCCATAGTTTTTACTATGTGAACCCTCAATTCCTTCTTTGTTTATCACATTCACTGGCTCATATGCCACCTACTCACCCGTCAGTATAGCTCTGTCGGAGAGGAGAGCACCATCGCAGTAATAATCGAATTGTTCGCTTTTTCCATTCTTCACAAATATCGCCGCGATCCAAGGGAAGACGGCTCGCGTAAATTCCTCGATGGAACCGTTGAAACTGCACTGCTGTTGAACCTGAAACGTACATTACCTAGTCCTTACACTAGAAAGAACAATATAAATGGTTCGATATCCGACTATTAACTGTGGTAGGTCCACATAACAGTTTACACAGTTGCGCGAATGGTCACGACCTTACGAAGCGGAATACGAAACGGAAGTGTTATACTTCTGCGTTTCGTTTTGAAGTAACCGGAGCCCACTTTATTAAATGTTGCAACGCATCTGCAACCATGTTGCAAATGGGTGGTGGTAATCACTTGACATCAGGTGAACCACCAGCTCGTTTGCCACCTTCTCAAATTAAAATAAAATATATCACATTTATGGGCTAGATCTCGCCTATGTTTTAAGTTTCGTTATAAGTAAATATAAACACGGCGCCTCATCTAGAATTTAATTCACTGGTTAGGCTAGGTAGGCTAGGTGTAAAGATGTGACAAATAGGATCAGAAGATTCAGTGGCACATTTACTAAGCTGTTGTCTTCGGGGGTCGTGGGTTCGATCCCCACACGGGACAAATATTTGTGTGACCCACAGAAAATTGATCCGGATCTGGATCCAAGGAGGGTTGACGTCTGGCAGGCGGCTGGTCGTAAAAAACGCACCCAAAATCACTTACAACATGATTCACATGTCCTGCCGACCCCACCTAGGCGGGACAAGGGCAGAAGGATGATGATGGAATAGGATTAAAAGAAACAGAACCGCTCTTTATGCTAAAAAATATCTTTGCATAAACGCAACCTGTTTAACAGTCTCGTGAAGACGCAAGAGCTTACTTTACTCCACAGTTGATGGAAGTACGAAACGAAAAATGTTCCTCGCTAATTGCCCGACCTTGAGCGCTAGCGTGTCTAATGTTATAATGTTGATGACAGAAATAAATTTGATGCGGTATGTTAGCCTCATTTAATGATTCCCGTGTTTACACTATAGCAAGTACAGTGTCATTTCTCCGTCAAAATGGACGAGGAACGTGGGCCACGCAACAGCTACGGCTGTTGCACGAATGGGCAGGTCCGTCCGGGTAAGTACCACGACCTCACAGAAGACCGGTGTAAAGTAGAAGTGTTACATTTCTGCGTTTCGTCTGGCGAGTGAGGCAGCCGGGGCCCACTTTATTAAAAGTTGGCGACGCATCTGTCCATGGGCCGCGGTGATCATTTAACGGTCAAGTTGCAAACCAAGTTGACTCGCTACTGTCCGATGGTTTACTTACTCAATCTACTCCACAAAACACTCAACCAGTGTAAATCGGGCTTAAATATGTCAATCAGTGAGGGACATGAAGGTTGAACATTGAGCCAGCTCTACTCTCAGCAACTACTATACCCCAATGATATTATTGATACAAGTAAGAGGAAGATATGGCACTAGCGCACCGAAACTGAAGCACTCAAATTACACCAATCGCTGTAATCTGATTGCAATTATGTAGACTGCTACAGATTGCAATCAGTCTCATATCAGGCTATCTCTTTCCGTATCAAACGTTCTATATCATTTGTCACATTCATTTACATATGTTATATAATGTTACATTCACTTTTTTTAAACGTCACGCCGTATGGACATGCGTTATCTATATTATTAAACATCATTGAATATACCCGATGAACATTGAAATGCCGCATCTGACTCCGCGTTGCTCTATGACGCGCGCGTGCCTTTGTTAGCGGAAGATTGATGTGCGGAATCGCGTGGCAAGTGGCAACGGTTATCGGTGCCGTCCATCTTGTAGATACCTTTCTCTCGCACCTCACTCTACGTTACTCGATAGTGAAACGTAATTATTTTTAAAACAAAACGTTAACACAATATCATTGTTTAAGTTTTAAATTTCACTTTTTCATCCGTTTTAATTTTATTTTAAGCAACCTTTTTATTCAATCCACCACGTCAAGTTTGTGGGTCGAGGTTTATACAGATTTAAAGACCATTCGTTTTGGAAAGTATAAACACCTATCTAAAATAATGTTTAGCTAAACAGACTTGTTGCGTATAAACTGAAAAGGCTATAAATACCATATATACTATTATACTATAAAAATGTTTTTGTCCATACGCAATATCTCTCTTTCTTTACTTTATCAAATAGTATAAAAATAAATGATTTTAAATATATTTTCCAAAACAGCAAAATAGTTTCATAAATTAAATAAGTTTAGAAAACTATTTCATTGTTGTTTTTTTTTTAAATCCACATTTGTGGATTCAGCATGTTGGAGGTACACTAATGTATGTACATAATGATACACGTAGGCGTTTTCAAGGCAATAGTGAATAGGCTTTTACTGAGCTTATCACCCACGGATGCATCGTCACTTACCATCAGGCGGGATGGCAGTCAAGCGCTAGTCAGTTCCATATATTAAAATTAACATAATGTACAACTTTTTTAAATAAGACAAAAATATCTTCTCTAGTAAAAATTTATTTGACTACTATTCGGTCCCTGATAAAGAATTATTAATTATTGGTATCATGAGAATAATTCCCGGGAGCCAGCGGTTTTGAAATTCTACCGCAACATAATACTTTACCACGCGAAATTATCTACCCTAATTTAGCTTAAGTTCTCTGTATTACTCCGTGATAGCTCAGTGTCCGGGCGCTCGCCTTTAATTCAATATACTCGAGCTACCGGAGTTCGATCCCCGGTGCCGGCACCTTTTAAGTTTTCTTTTTTTTTTAATGTGTTAAGTTGCCAAACGGCAAACAGACCGTTCACCGGATGTTAAGTGAATACCGCCCCCATGGACATATAAATCCGATGGTTGCAGATGCGTTGACAACCTTTTGAAAATTGGGCTCCGGCCACCTCACTCACCAGACAAAACGTGAATGTATTATACTTCCACTTTACGCCGGTCTTCTGTGAGGTCGTGGCTATTACCCGAACGGACCTGCTCATTCGTGCAACATTGGAAACTGTTGCATGATATAAGGCGATAGGCTCGGCCTATCCAGTATTAAATATGTTAAGCTGGGTTTAACTGAAATCACTAACAATTTCTAACATTTTAAGTTTACGTAACTAAACATTTTAGTCCATTCCACTATTATAGATGCCGTAGAATATTCGCAGTCTATAATTTTAAATCGTTTAATTCAAAAGCTCTTTTTTTAATATTTAGGACATATTTTTATACAAATGTCATCCATTCCCAAACTAAGCAACGCTTGTACCATGGATACTAGATAACAGATAGACATATTTAAAAATTCTTTTCTATTGTAAATAAATACACATTATACATACATAAACACCTACGTACTGGAAAAACGCTATGTTCATCACACGATATTTTTCCAGTCGGGATCGAACCTCTGGCGCCAGAGGCGGGTTCACTACACACTACGACAATGGGGCCATCGATATAAAACGAGGAATCAGTGCATCACAGAATAAGCGGACAAAAGAGAATCGACAAAAGCTCAGGAAGTAATAATGGCATAAAAGACAAAAGGTCCCGGAATACACGTGATATCGATGGAACACAATTTTTCATTTGGAAACAATTGTACACAAAAACGAGTTTAGTTTACGATTGGCTATCAATTCTTTCCTTGCTTTTTATTTATTGGAACTGCTTTAAAGTTTATTGTTGATAAAACATTAATGTCGAACTGTCTGCAAATTGTTTATTCTATACATACTTAAATTTTATTTTATAATGTGTTAGGTCATTTACGTAAATAAATGGAACTTGAGAACATTACTAAAATTAAATCCAATGCCGTAGGTACGTACTTCAAAATCAAATCGTTGGTTGTATACAGATTTGATGTTTTTAGTTATGAATGATGCGTATAAAATCACGCACTTTTTGAGATAAGTTCAAATGAATGTAATTAATTACTTACGAGTGATTTTAAATATTTATCATTTTTTAAATAACATTATTTATGTCTAGAATCTAATAAAAGAAAGTGGATATATTTAGAAAAGCCACTCTGTATAATATGTACGAATCAGTTATTTTAGTTATTTGAAATTTAAGTAACTAAAGTTCAATGTAGAAGTGGGCGATAAAAATCGTATACAGATACGAAAACTATATATTGGTAAAATATCTGAGAATCGCTTACTGGCTCGTTCAAAATCTATGTATTTACAATATCTGATATTTGCGAAATCTGATGTACCGAATACTCGCTCACTCGCTGTACCAACACGAATCGCTATATCATACGCGTTTGCCACAATATCAGATTTTAAGACAAAGCGCGTGAGATACAAATATTCACTAGTTAGAGCAGTACGGCAACAATTGCTTAATTTAAATACGAATCATGGTATTAACGATGTCTTTAAATTTTGTTTAGCCTTGAGCTGGAGTGCAATGGTACTTATGCATGTAATAGTAAGGGATGCCGATTTAGGAATTTTCTTCCTAAATTAAGTAAGAAAAATATACAATGGAAACTTTTTAGGAGGTAAATTTTTTGGGAACTAAATAGCGAAACTACACAAAACGAAAAAGAAAAATATAATTTAATAGTGTTGTGCTGCTTTGGTGGACGTCAGGCCAAGGCTTATGTGCCTTGTGTGTAAATTTTAAATTCTTCCGCCCTAAATTGAATTATGTATTAGGTTTTAACGTTATTAAAAAAAATTTAAACGTACGCTTGACCTTGTAGGACTCACTGGTCTTAACAACCTTTAGAAAATTAAGCATAATTAACATTTTTTTTTCTTTTTTTTTAATGCATTTAAGGTGGATACGCGAATGTAAAGTATTATTATGTAGATATTAAAATACATAGTTTCGAAATGTGATATTTGAAATCGAAATCTGATTCAGATACAGTTCTCATAAAAAGCGATACGACCCATCTGTCGTTCAATGGTCTGCTCTATATTTATTTATTTTTAAACTTCATGCAACAGCACATAGGCGGACTTAATGCTGACAGTATTTTCTACCAGTCAACCTTAGGGTGGTACTGAGAAGTTGAGCTAAGTGCACAAACATATAAAAGAAAACACTTGTCATTATTACATGTT